GTCCCCGCATCTCCGGCTCTAGTGTCCGCGCGACCCCCAGATTTTGTCGAATGCCTCTGGGCCGGACTGAAAAAAGTCGAAGAGACGAACAGCCCCCCGCTCGTTTGCTCGCCTCCCCGCCTGCGCGGCCGCGGCGCCGCACTGACGGTGCTGCGCTGCAGGCCGCCCGGGCCCCCGCGCTGCGCTCCGCACCTGCCGCGACGGCTGGAGGGGGCGCGCGCGGTTTTGAGGGCGACGAAGCCGCGCCGGGCGCTTCTGCCGTTTTTGCGAGCGCCCGTTTTTGCGGGCGCAGGTTGGCTCCAGTTGTGGCTCCCCAGCAGTGATTTCCTACCCCTTTGCCCCTCGGTTGGAGTGTTGATGGTGGACTCATCAGTAAGATCTCATCCCATCTCATCGCGCTTTGCCAGCCTTCTGTTCAGGCGCCCTGTGGAAAGGGAAATGGGGAATCCCTGACACTGAGAAAACCCGGGGCCAAACTTTCGCCAACTAATGGACAAACTGCAGTCACGTGTGTCCAAGTTATGAGTTCACAAGTGCAGGCGTTTGCCAGTCGCGGGTCAGGTGCAGCGACTCTGACGTGTCTTAACAAAGCCAGGCTCCTCGACAGGGGGCGCCCCTCCCCCCTGGCTTTGTGGCCAGAGGAGAAAACGGGGCGGCCGGGGCGGGGATCAGTAAGAGGGCGCACGCCTCGGAGCCAGGAGAGCTGGGCAGGGTTTTGGGGTCAAAGCTGCTGTGCTGTGGCAGCTGTATTGGGGAGATGAACGGCGGCCTATTTATGGCAGCTGTGTAGGGTGAGGTAAAAGTACCCAGCCGACAGGCAGGCGGGATCCTGCACAATCCGTACACTTAAACAAGACCTTGCTTAAACTCATTTTGACCGAACTCGTCAACCCCGCCATGCAGGGACGCGCCCGTGCGCTGCCCCTGCAAGTAAATTTGACTGCGCAGCCGGCACCGGCCGGGCAACTTGCCCGCCTGAGCTGGTCCAGCGTGTGGTGTGGCCACTCTGCGGCAGCAAAGGGCGGCCGCGGAGAGCGTCGGCCCCCCTCATGTGCGCACCACGGCGGCAGCCGGAGCTCGACCCATGTGCACCCCGGATGGCTCCTGCAGCTGCCACCTGCTGGGATGGCTCCTTACGCTGCGCTCTGAGCGCTCCGCCAGCGCCAAACACGCTGATGTAACCGAATGCTTATCTGCTTCAACTCCACCAATAGAATTCCAGAGTCACACCCAACCAGAGTCGTTGCCTCCGAAAGAGGATCTAGCGTCGCTTAGCCGCCGTGGTCTGCAACTAATATTGGATTCATCAATCGTGTGCCTTACAGTACACAAGACTCTCCCAGTGCTGACACAGCTCGGGCAGGCGGAGACTACTAGCCGCTTCCAGCACGCGGGCAGTACGGGCTGCTTCTGCGGGTGAGTCGTGCAGGGATCCGCTCGAATAAGCCATTAGATCATGTTCCGCGCCTCACTCACTACGACGCCCTTGCCCCACGCAGGTCCACCCCCTGCGTCAACACCCGCAAAGCAGCGCGGCCCCGCGCGCCGCGATGCGGCGCCGCGCGCATGGGCCGGCCACCGCCGCGCTCGCGCTCGCGCTCGCCCTCGCCGCCGCGTGCCTCGCGCCCCGCCCCGCCGCCGGCGACGCGTTCCCCTGCCGCGGCCCGGTCACCATCAGCAGCGCGTGCGGCGCCGTCTTCGCCCGCGCCGCGGGCCCCGGCTCCCTGCTCCCCGCCGCCGCCTGCGCGCCGTGCGCCGCGGCGGGCTGCTCGTGCCCCCCCTCGGACTGCCTATCTGTCGTCTCAGCCTGCCAGGAGGCCGGGCCAAACGGATTAGTCAACGTGAGGGTCGGCCTCGGGGGCTGCAAGTACGTGCGGGTGCCGCGGCGCGGGCGGGACACCCGGATTAAATGGGTCGCGTTCCAAGGGGTGGACGAGAAGGGGCGGCAGTTCGTGAACCACGGTGAGAGGAGGCTGGGGCGTTTTCTGCCGCCGCTGCTGCTGCTGCTGCCGCCGCCGCCGCTGCTGCTGCTGCTGCTGCTGCTGCTGCTGCTGCTGCTGCTGCTGCTGCTGCTGCTGCTGCTGCTGCTGCTGCTGCTGCTGCTGCTGCTGCTGCTGCTGCTGCTGTTGTACATTGTGCGATGTCAAAAGGCGGCTGGGGGCCTTTTGGCAGGCCCCGCCTGACACGGCGCAGACGCGCGTGCCCCGCGCCGCGGCAGCCTGTGCGACCCAGCCGGCGCCCGCGGCGGCGGCCACCCCGCGGAACAAGGGGCAAGGCGGCCCCTGGCTGGCCACGTCAGCGCGCGGCGACACAACCCGCGCCCCGCGCTCCGCCCCTCGCGCCGCCCCCCTCCCCCCTCTCAACCCCCAGCCTGGCTGCGTGACATGAGTAATACCCTGCCGGACACCTCGCGCTGCGCCAACACGGCGGCAGGCAACAGCAGCACCTGCTGCCTGCAGCAGAACGTGCAGGGTGAGTGGGAGGCGCAATAAGAATTTCGCTTCAGGCCCAAACGTGGCAGCATCCCACCCAGGAGGCTGCATTTGTTATTCACTCCTTGGCAGGGGCCTCATGTTGGGGTTTTGGCGTGGCTGGAATGCAGGCGCGCTCCTTGGCGGGCTGGCGTTTTGTGAGACGCCGCGCAGCCGCCTCTGCGCCGACGCGCACGCATCCGCCCTGCCCGGCGCGGTTCAAACCCCGGCTGTCGCCGCCCACCGTTTGAATCCCGCCCAGGCAACGGCCAGGTCAACATGTTCAAGCTGCAGTGCGGCGCGCGGCCGGTGGTGTGGATGGGGGACCCGAGCTTCTCGTCGTGTAATGCGGCCGCGGCGCCGGGCGGGCCGGTTACGCTGCCCGCCTACCTATTCGCGGGCCCTGACGGCGGGAAAAACTTCTGCGGCGCGCCCGCTGGCGTCCCGGCGAGCCAGGTGCGGGGTGTGTGCAGGGGTGGCGGCGGGCCGCCGCGGGCGACGAATCAGGGCGCTGCCTGTGGCCTCTGCTCCTCCATCCTGCGCAGGACGCCCCTTCTTGTGTGTAGTCATGGCCGAGGCGCGCCCACAACGCCGCCCTCAAAATCGCCATCAAACCCGCGCGCGGACAGGTGTGCGGGCCGTACACGTTGCCGGCGGTCAACTGCACGTCGATGCCAAAGTGCTGAATGGCACGGCCAAGGTGGTGTTGCGCGGAGGCTCGGCGTCGGCAGCCGCCCTGGGTCGATCCCTTCCGGTGGCGCATTTTTTTGCAGAGATAGGCCTTTTTACTGCACATACGCGATCCAACATTCCATAATTGCGCCACTGTCTGGTGGCGAACCTGCCTTCTTTTTTACTATCACTCCAACACTGCTACACGGCCCTCGTGTGTGCCTGTGCGCATGTCGTGCGGGCCCCTGGGTGTGAGGCGCTCCCGCCCCCCCAGCCGCCGGCAGCCCTTTTGGCGCGCGGCGCGCCGGCCGCGGCGCTGGCGCATCCCACGCGAGCGCCGCTGCGAGTTTGCGCGCACTGCAATCATGCAATGCGGCCAGGTCTCCAATTTCGAGACGCCCGTGCATTCACAGTAAGCAAATGCGTACAGAAAAGCGTGGTGGCATGGGGAAGCAGCAGCAGCGTTGAGTGCGGGCTGGGCAGGGCGGGGCTGCTGGGGGGCTGGGCGCTGCTGCAGACGAGAGTCAAAGGGCAAAATTCCATGTGTGTAGGTGCCAGCGCGGCAGAGAAAGCCATGCTACTGCGAAACGGCGCATGGAGGGAAGTATGAAGGCACATCGGCAACGTCTTGCTCTGGGTGCAACATAAGGACGCATCATCGGCTTCGTGATTGCCGCCGACCAGGGGGCTGGGCACTCACTTCAGCACCCGCGACACATGCCGGTTGCAAGCGCAGTGCGGTTGAGGGTTGTGGGCGTACACCAGCAAAATCAATGACAGAAAATTCATATGTTACCCACAGATATGGTGTTTACTCCGGTGCGCACTGTTGCACGAATGGCGCGCGACCTTTTTACTCGCTGATCTCGCACCTTTTTACAGCCATTCGATCCGCAAGCCAATAACTTAGCCTCCATGAGCCTACTGGGTGGCAGGACGCTGGCAGCCGGGCCCAGCGCCCGACCAGTATGCAACGCGCGCCACACACTGCGCGCCCTGCGCGGCGCCCCTGCAGCCGCTGGCCGGCCCAGCCACCCCGCGGCGTCGCGCCCTGCGCGTCCGATGCGGCAGAGTTTCAGTATACGCACCCCCTCAGCCGCAGCGGCTGGCGCGGCAGCCGCGCCCGCGGCGGCGCGGACGCCGCCCGGCCGCCTAGAGCTGTCGCCCGAAGAAGCCGCCGAGCGCCTGGCGGCGCCGCTGTCGACCGAGGAAGCTTCCCTCGTCGACTCCCTGCTGGCTAGGAGCGCTGCTGACCTGGCGGTGGAGGCGCGGCGGCTGCGGGACCGGGGGTATCCCCGGATTATGACCTTCTCACCAAAGGTGGGCCTTGGGGCCTTGTGTTAATATTTTTCCCCCCTGGTGACTAGCAAGCTGCCGCAGCCTCGGCAGCTGCAGCCGGCCACAGCAGCCGCTGCAGCCGCTAGGGATGCATTTTCGAGGTCATATTTGCAGAGGAGTCGGCCGACCATCAAAACATGTGCGCCTGGGCAGCGCGGCGCGGGGCGCGGCGCGGGGCCTGCCGCGCGCTCAAACGCCCGCGGGCGGCGCGGACCCGGGCCCAGGTGGGCCCAGCTGCTAAAATCGCCGCTCTCCTCTGATCCCCCGCGCTCAAAGTTGCAACAGGCAACAGGAGCACGCCCAGACCACATTCAAACACTCCCTTCACAACAAAAAACGCACCACTATGGTCATCTCCAATTCTTGCGTATGAAGTTTGGTCCGAACCAACAACACCACCACCGCAGGTGTTCATCCCCCTGACGCGCCTCTGCCGCGACGCCTGCGGCTACTGCACGTTCGCCCGCCCCCCCGTCCCCGGCCGCCGCGCCTACATGACGCTCGATGAGGTCATCGCGGTCGCGCGGCTGGGGGCGGCGCAGGGCTGCTGCGAGGCCCTCTTCACCCTGGGTAGGTGCGGCGGCGGTTACTGACCATCATACGGCATGAATACATCGCACCCCGTGTAGTCGCTCGCCTGAGGCAAAACAGAGTGTGTGGTTGATTGGGGGGGGGATCCGCAGGTCAGGGGACCCACCTCAAACACAATCAACGTACCATCAATCTTGCAACATCAATCAACCTCGGATCAACCATGTATGTTGTTGTTGGAGAACACAGCAGCTGATCTCACATAATCCGCGACACCGACCTCAACCCTGATCAGGGGACAAGCCCGAGGAGCTGTACCCAGAGGCGGCCGCCGAGCTGTCGGCCATGGGCTTTCGAACGACGCTCGAGTACGTCTACGCCGCCGCCGCGGCGGTGATGCGGGAGACGGGGCTGCTGCCGCACATCAATGCGGGGGTGATGGGGGCAGACG